ATTTTTTAAGCCATTCTGTAGAGCTGCACTTCCTCTATACTGACTGCAGAATTATTAGGCAGGTTGGATTTTTCAGGATAATTTTTTTTTATTATTGGGCCACAATGGTGTTCTCAATCAACCCAAAAGACTCCTCAATATCAAAGTTTCATATTTTTGGAAGATGATGTGTTTTTTTTTGTGTTTTTTTTTCCAGATTTGGCCATTTAATGAGGATGTCTGTGTGTGCAGGTAAATATTACTGTGCAGAATTATTAGGCAACGTAATAAAAAACAAATAGATACCATCTCACTTGTTTATTTTCACCAGGTAAACCAATATAACTACTCAAAATTCATAAACATTTGCGACGTTCAAAAAATAAAATAAAACAGTGACCAATCTAGCCACCTTTCTCCACCATGACGCTCTAAAGCCTTCCATCCATAGATTCTGTCAGTCTTGATCTGTTTGCGATCCTCATTGCGTGCAACAGCCACCACAGCCTCCCAGACACTGTTTTCCCTCCCTGTAGATCTCACCTTTCATGAAGGACCACAGGTTTTCCATAGGGTTCAGATCAGGTGATCAAGGGGGCCATGTCATTATTTTTTCTCCTTTTACACTTTTTCTGGCCGCCACGCTGTGGTGTATTCTGATGCGTGTGACAGAGCATCAGCCTGCAGGAATATCAAGTTTTTCTTGAATGATGGCGACTTCTTCTTGTTCCACTGTTTGAAGAAGGTGTCTTCCAGAAACTGGCAGTAGGTCTGGGAGTTGATCTTGACTCCATCATCAACCTGAAAAGGTCCCACAGGCTCATCTTTGATAGCAGCCCATAGCATTACCCCACCTCCACCTTGCTGGCGCCTGAGTGGATAAGGAACTTGCTGCCCTTTACTGATCCAGCCTGGTGCCCATCCATCCATCTGGCCCATCTAGACTCTCTCTCATTCCATCAGACCAAAACACCTTGGAGAAATCAGTCTGCAGATATTTCTTGGCCCAATGTTGACTGTTTGTCTTGTGTGTCTTGTTCAAAGGTGGCCTTTTTTCGGCTTTCCTTACCTTGGCCAGGTCCCTGAGTATTGAGCACCTTGTGCTTCTCGGTGCTCAAGACATGTTGCAGCTCTGAAATATGGCCCAACTGGTGGCTAATGGCTTCCTGGCAGCTTCACGCTTGATCATTCTCAATTCATGGGGAGATATTTTGCGTCTTCTTTTTTCAACACGCTTCTTGCTCCCCTGTTGGCTATTTGCTATGAACCGCTTGATTTTGCGATGACCCTGTTTCAAAAACTTGGCCATTTCCAAACTGCTGCTCCCCTCTGAAAGACATCTGACAATTTTTGACTTTGGACTAGAGTCTGTCAAATCTCTTTTCTGACCCATTCTGCCAAAGGAAAGGAAGTTGCCTAATAATAAAGCACACCTTATATAGGGTGTTGATGTCATTAGGCCACGCCCCTTCTCATTACAGAGATGCATCCAACCTGATTTACTTCATTGGTAGATGGTTTTCAAGCCTATACAGCTTGGAGGAGGACAACATGTATGAAAAGGATGATGTGGTGGAAATACTCATTGCCTAATAATTCTGCACACAGTGTATAGCTGTTGGAGCTTGGCTGTTTTTCAGTGTTTAGTCCTGTTTTTCTCCTACAGCTATGGGCTCAGCTTCTACTGGGACTAACTCTTTGTTCTCTCTTTCATCCTTCGACATGAAGCTGGCTCAGAGCTCATCTGATTAACTCTTTCTTACACAGAAAGGGCCGCCTGTGGAGCTAGCGTAGCGTTAGCTCCTCTAACATAGAAAGTGTTTATAGATCAGGGCAAACTTTAGTTGAACGACAAATGTTGAAGACATTTATTATTTGACGGCTGATGCTTGGGGAAGGTTCATAGGTCATGTGGGGGGAAAATCAGCCAAGAAAAAAAATCGGCCATCATCTCCTCATTGAGGAGATGATGAAAGAGCGGCTGAGGGAGGTGAATGTAAGGAGACCAGGTGGTTTTTTCCACGCATCACCATCGCTGTTAATCTGTGACTCCATGCGTGCCCATCTCACAGCCGATGTGAAAAACATGGTGAAACACATGAATGCTGTGCTTGCTATTATTCAGCCGCTCGACATCGGTGTGAACCGGCCATTCAAAGTAAGGCTGCGAGTGGCGTGGGGAGCGATGGATGACAGACGGAGACCACAGCTTCACAAAAAGTGGAAGGCAGCGCCGGGCAAGTTACGCCACAGTTTGCGGATGGATTGTAGATGCTTGGACTAACGTGTCTGCTGGCACTGTTGGTCGAGCTTTCGCAAAAGCCGGCATCATTTCCAAGGAGCCGCCCGGCACGGAAAGTGAATCTGACAGAGAAGAATGGGAAATTAGCATGTCTGATTTAGTGCAGCTGTTTAATTCAGAAACAGAGGATGATGACTTTGATGGGTTTGATTAATACTTTGTAATAAATACATGAATAAAGCACAATCATACTCAGTTTTGCTCCCGCTCTATTTTTAAATACGCAGTAGAGGTATTTAAACGTAGTAGAGGACATGTACCTGTATATAAAACCCGCGCCCTATAGTCGCCTTATGTGTGTGTTAAATACAGTAATGGCACACAGAGCGATAGCACTTTAGTACGGTGCACCATATGGTCGTGAAGATACGGTAATGACTTGAACCGCCGGCAAAAAAACATGTCTTTCAGTGATTTCATGAGAACTCTGAGATCTCTCTTTTTGCAATTGTTCTCACATGAAACTTCATGTTAATCACAAACCTTTGGGTAAAAACTTTATACTTCCCTATTTTCCCAGAGATCCTTCCGCTTCCTCATGCCAATAGCATGTTAAAGGAACTCTGTCAGAAACCGTGAAACCTTCATTCTGTTGAACCTTAAATCTACCTACTCTGTTCTGAGCTGCAGAGACTATGTGTAGCACTGAAACTTACCTATTTGCATAAAAGCTGTATGGATGTTAACCTCTGCCAGACTCTGCTCTGCTTCTATGCTGAGCTTCGCATCAGCTTCCGCACATCGTGCTCTGGTTGTGCGCGCCGGGCTCCGTTTGTGCACGCCGGCGCTGGTTGTGCACATCCGGCTCTGGTTGTGAGTGCCGGGCTCTGGTTGTGAGCGCCGGGCTCCAGTTGTGCACATCGGGCTCCGCTTGTGCACATCGGGCAGTGGTTGTGCGCGCCGGGCTCCGTTTGTGCACGCCGGCTCTGGTCGTGCACATCCGGATCTGGTTGTGAGCGCCGGGCTCCAGTTGTGCACATCGGGCTCCGGTTGTGCGCGCTGGCTCTGGTTGTGCACGTCGGACTCTGGTTGTGCACGTCGGGCTCTGGTTGTGCGCGCTGGGCTCTGGTTGTGCGCGCTGGGCTCTGGTTGTGCACATCGGGCTCTGGTTGTGCACATCGGGCTCTGGTTGTGCACATCGGGCTCTGGTTGTGCACGTCGGGCTCCGGTTGTGCACGTCGGGCTCTGGTTGTGCACGTCGGGCTCCGGTTGTGCGCGCCGGGCTCTGGTTGTGCACTTTTGGCTCCATCTCTGCTCTCGTGACTTGTTTAAGTCAAGTAAATGAACCTAAGCAGGCAGCCAATCAAAGGCGTTCATCCAGTCAAAGTAATCCTTGCAAACCTTCATCCATGTAATGGAAACGAGCAGTAAAACAAAATACTGCAGAGGCAGAGATTACAAAACGCTTTGATTTAAGAATGAATCCATCAGACTGTAATAAAATAAACACTATAATGTTCTGTGTTCTACATTTAATATACTGAAAAACTTTAATATTTTTCAAAATCATTTAGTAGCTGGAGAAAAAAAATCTAAATTTTAGTTTGATTTTCCAGCTCTTGTAATTAATGCAGCTCTTTCTTTGCTCTCCACCAAATAAACAGCTGTACTGTATGCAGAAATAGTGTTGAGTTCGAGGTTACATACAGTAGCCCAACAATAGACATGCATTAAAGCCTGGAATTCAACGCTATTTCTGACATTTTGAATTGAAAAAGCTTCCTGGATTCAATTCTATTCAGTTTATTTCTATAGCCCCAATTCACATCATGTCATCTCAGGTCACTTTACGATTCACCAGATCATCCAGGCAGATTGATTCAGTTTTCTATCTAACAAGCTGATTGCATCGACTCATTGACTCTTCAGCAATCCCTGGATGGAAGAGAAACATCTTCAAACTTGGAAACAAAGACCAGAGGATTCTTTTTTAACTTTTTTGGAATGACTGTGACCCGGATGACTGGGAATCTGCGTAAATGGGTGAACGACTGAATGTAGTGTAAAGTGCTTTGGTCAAGTCCTCTGACTTGAAAAAGCGTTATATAAGTACCGGCCATTAACCTTTATTTTTTACCATGAAACATGGACATTGTTCCTAAATGTCCAAAATTCTTTTTGTGGTTTATACCAACAGAAATGATGGTGAAAGTGATAAACATGAAAAACCAAAGCTGAAGTGAACCGTGAGGGTTTGTAGTGATGACGGGTCAGTGACCTCCGCTGCAGGCTCAGCTGCCGTACATTATCTGCCATCTTTGACCTGCTTCAAACCAAAGGGCAACTTTTACAGAAACCTTTGGTGTTTTTCTCCGGATTGGGTTTAATCTGAAAACGGTTTGTAGGATTGAGGCAGCAGTAATCAGAAGGAGACCATATGGACCAAATCATCAATAGATGGATTTAGGTTGAACCTTCTTCAGTGACGGTGTGTGGCCCTGTGAAAAGTTGGTTTGGTTTGTCTCTAATCAGGACAGACCTGTCCGCCTCCACCCCTGATCACTGCTGGCCCATTTAGAGAAGCTAGAGGAACTAGGAGGAAGGTTCCACCTGAAATCTGAGCAGAAGTGTGCAGGTCAAATCTCTTCCTGTTTCATGTTGTCTGGAATCAGAATGAAGGTACGTGTGTGAGACGGGTAGTTGATGTTGACCTGTTTAGCTTTTCTGAGATGTTGGCTGGACGTGTTTCTGATTTTCATCGTCGTCTTCTTTTTTCTAGCCAATGAAAAGTCTTGATGTGAATGACGGCTCTCTGCTGCATGCGCCCCTTGGTCCCTACTTCTCTGATGGACAGCGCCGTGTGGACTATGTTCTGACCTATAGCGTCCAGAAGCCCAACGGGGTCCGACGGCCGTCCTCCAAGCCCAGCGAGGGCAACATGTTTGAAAGGCTACGGCGCAGCATGAGCACAAGGAGCAGCAAGGCGCCGCTGCAGCCCAGGGAGGACCCGGAGGTCGCCGCCACGGAGCAACAGGATAATTATCATGAGGGCGACAAGCGCTTCAAGAGGGACGAGTTTGAGCAGAACCTGCAGGAGATCGGTCTGGAGCTGGAGAAGGATGAGTCGGTGAGAGAAAATGGTTTCATAAAACTTTCAGCAGATTGAATTTCTGTCAATCTATTTCTAATCTATTTCATTTCTAATCCCGGTGTTGGAAAGAATGTCACTTTAATACATCTGTTGCTTGTTTAAAGTGTTTCTTTAAATTGATCTTAGTGTGCACTGCAAAAATTTAAATCTAAAAAGTTGTTTTGTTTCTTAAAATAAGTGGATTTTTTCTTGATTCAAGCAGGTAAGTGAAACATTTTGCCAATGGAACAAGAAAATTTACATTAAAATAAGAAAAAACTTTTGCATTGTATTATTTCAAGTGCAAATTATCTTATTTTAAGATTAAAATAACTCATTCCATTGGCAGATCATCTTATTTACCTGCTCAGATTAAGGGTACATACGCTTTATTTAAAGGGGAACACAGTTTTTACATTGGGTCCTTGATTTTCCGTTATTTCATCATGTTCTACTCACCCATATGAGTTTAGTGTCATTTGGAGCCGTTCATAAAGAATAAATGATGAACAGTTTAGTTTGTGCCTTCAAGTCGTTGCCCATAGGAAGACGTTACTTGGATATAACCTAACGGAATATCTTCAGAACGGCTCCAAATGACACTAAACTCATATGGGTGAGTAGAACATGATGGAATAACGGAAAATCAAGGAGCCAATGGAAAAAAAAAAAACCTGCGTTCCCTTTTAAGAAATCTGTACCTATTTCCAGATTGTTTTAGCAGTGCACTGCCAGCTTTCAGCCATTTTTATTTCTTTACCTCACATCAAGGTTTTTTATGTACCAGGGCTGCTCTGCTGGCATCAGACACTTTAACAGCTTAGAATGTGAATGATTGGTTTCCATAAAGCGGAAGAAGGCTGGAAGGAACCGAAGGCAGAGGTTTAACACGGGAAAGGATTCAGTTCCCTGAAAAAGATCATGTTGCATGAGTGGAGTTATGGATCGGAGGCAGCAGTAAAGCAGTTAAAAGCAAGGGCCGCACCTTAAGGTGCTTCTTTAGAGAGGAGCTGGTGGTCTGAAACACAGAAATTAGATTATTTCAGCCCAGATTGGGAAGTTTCAGCCATAATCCAGGAGCAACACATTTAAGGACTAATTGATATCACCTGGAAGGCAATATCTAATCCAGTTCTGTTATTAAAAGAATGTCGCTGGTTTTAAATGTAGTGTTAGCATCAATGAGGTCCCTTTGTGAGTCGGTTTATTCTAGATAGATTATAACCGATAAAATAACAGGTTATTTTATGGTTAATGTGCATCTTTAACTTATACTAGATCTGAGGCCTTCATAAATGTCTGTTTTTACATCAGTTATAGTAACTTTCAATATTAGGGATTTACGTAGGGTTGCCAACCGTCCCTTGAAAAACAGAATGGTTCCGTATTTAGAAATAGAAATACCTGTCCCATATTTAGTGGAAAAGAAACGCACTTTGTCCCGTATTACTGTGAGACTAAATAAAAATAGTAAAATGCTAATGGAAAATGAAGAACAAGGGCACGTTAGATACAAAACTTACGGTAAACTTGTTCCCCTCCCTCACCTGTGTTGTGACTAATGAGCTGACAACATAAATGTCCAGAATCCCCTCATCCCATTGGTCACTTGGCTAACTTCACTGTTTGAAGTGAAGCAGGACAGATTGATGTTTAAGATACTTATTTTATTCAGCAAAGTTTATTTTTTTATTAAAGTGAATTGCTGGATAATAATTTGTTTTCCATGTGTAAATTTTATTCACAAATATGCAGATTTGAGTCAAATAGTTAAAAATATAATTTCTCACACAAAGGGGGGCTAAAATCAACTACGCCAGGGGGGGTGGAGGCAATCGGATCAGCTGGAATGCACGAGGGGTCCCTTTTCTTTTCCTTTTTTGTCAGGGAGTTGGCAACCCTAGATTTGCGCCATCAGACACTAATGAGACCGAGGTGGGGGAAAAGTCTTTTCTTAGTCCTCCTAATCATCATCTAAAATAGTTTTAATGTTAACCTTTGTTAGTTTGACTCCTTCAACGTCTCCATCATCTCAGCTCTGTGTGTGCTTCTAGCTAGAAGTCTTTGATTGGGTACACCTTGGTGTAAAACATCTCTATGCTTTGCAGGGCGCGGCCATCAGGCTTTTAGCTAGCAGTTTACCTCATTGGACCTGCTCTGGGTCTGTCTGGATAGAGCCGATCGGTCAAATGTATCATCAGTAGATTATTACATACTTGATGGAGAAGCAGCAGCTCTCTGCTCTCTTTCACATCAATATTAACCTTTTATTTCTGTGAATAACTCTCAATTCCAGAGTAAATTCCCAGGAATCGGCTTCCTTAAGATCCACGCTCCTTGGACCGTTTTGTGTAGAGAGGCCGAGATCATGAAGCTGAAGATGCCAACAAAGAAGGTATTTCATTCACCAGGCCTTGATTCCATAAAAAATCTTATTTTCTTTACATTCAGTTCAGTATTAATATCATCAATGAAGGCCAAATCGTTGAAAAGTTTGCAGGTATTTAAACCAGTTAGAACTTGTTTGCACACATAAAGTGATATTGATGTTCAGTTCAGCAGATGGAGAACCAGCAACCTCTAATGAGCACACAGTAGAGACTGATGAATGGAGGACATGCAAATGGAAACGTTTACTACATGCAAAGCGTTTGGTTTACTTTGATCTAATCAGAAAATCCAAAGCAGCCACAGTTTTTACATCTTTTTTTAGTACTTTAAAGAGCATTAAGCTGTTATATTTGTAGAAAACCCGCCTCCTAAAGGAGCCTGTTGCCGCAGTATACCGCATTAAGCTGTTAAATTTGCAGCAATACCTCCTCCTAAATGAGCATGCAGCCAAAGCGTACAGCTTTATGCAGCTGCAGCAGTATAGTGCATTAAGCTGTTACATTTGCAGCAATTCCTATAACGCATTAAGCTGTTACATTTGCAGCAATTCCTATACCGCATTAAGCTGCTAAATTTGCAGGCATACCTCCTCCACAATCAACATGCGGCCACAGTGTACGGCTTTAAGCTGCAGCAGCAGTATACCACATTACGCTGTTACATTTTCAGCAATTTCCCCTCCTAAATGAACATGCAGCAGCAGTATATCACATTTTGCGGTTATATTTGCAGCAATTTCTATACCGCATTAAGCTGTTACATTTTCAGCAATTCCCCCTCCTGAATGAGCATGCAGCAGCAGTATACCACATTTTGCTGTTATATTTGCAGCAATTCGTATATCGCATTAAACTGTTAAATTTGCAGCAATTCCTCCTCCTAAATGAGCATGCGGCAGCGGTATATTGCATTTAGCCATTACATTTGCAGCAATACCTCCTCCTAAATCAACATGCGGCCACAGTGTACGGCTTTAAGCTGCAGCAGCAGTATACCACATTACGCTGTTACATTTTCAGCAATTCCCCCTCTTAAATGAGCATGCAGCAGCAGTATACCACATTTTGCTGTTATATTTGCAGCAATTCGTATATCGCATTAAGCTGTTAAATTTGCAGCAATTCCTTCTCCTAAATGAGCATGCGGCAGCGGTATATCGCATTTAGCCATTAAATTTGCAGCAATACCTCCTCCTAAATCAACACACGGCCACAGTGTACGGCTTTAAGCTGCAGCAGCAGTACACCACATTACGCTGTTACATTTTCAGCAATTCCCCCTCCTAAATGAGCTTGCAGCAGCAGTATACCACATTTTGCTGTTATATTTGCAGCAATTCCTATACCGCATTAAGCTGTTACATTTTCAGCAATTCTCCCTCCTAAATGAACATGCAGCAGCAGTATACCACATTTTGCTGTTATATTTTCAGCAATTCCCCCTCTTAAATGAGCATGCAGCAGCAGTATACCACATTTTGCTGTTATATTTGCAGCAATTCGTATATCGCATTAAGCTGTTAAATTTGCAGCAATTCCTTCTCCTAAATGAGCATGCGGCAGCGGTATATCGCATTTAGCCATTAAATTTGCAGCAATACCTCCTCCTAAATCAACACACGGCCACAGTGTACGGCTTTAAGCTGCAGCAGCAATACACCACATTACGCTGTTACATTTTCAGCAATTCCCCCTCCTAAATGAGCTTGCAGCAGCAGTATACCACATTTTGCTGTTATATTTGCAGCAATCCCTATACCGCATTAAGCTGTTACATTTTCAGCAATTCTCCCTCCTAAATGAACATGCAGCAGCAGTATACCACATTTTGCTGTTATATTTTCAGCAATTCCCCCTCTTAAATGAGCATGCAGCAGCAGTATACCACATTTTGCTGTTATATTTGCAGCAATTCGTATATCGCATTAAGCTGTTAAATTTGCAGCAATACCTCCTCCTAAATCAACACACGGCCACAGTGTACGGCTTTAAGCTGCAGCAGCAGTACACCACATTACGCTGTTACATTTTCAGCAATTCCCCCTCCTAAATGAGCTTGCAGCAGCAGTATACCACATTTTGCTGTTATATTTGCAGCAATTCGTATATCGCATTAAGCTGTTAAATTTGCAGCAATTCCTCCTCCTAAATGAGCATGCGGCAGCGGTATATCGCATTTAGCCATAACATTTGCAGCAATACTTCCTCCTAAATCAACACACAGCCACAGTGTACGGCTTTAAGCTGCAGCAGCAGTATACCACATTACGCTGTTACATTTTCAGCAATTCCCCCTCCTAAATGAGCATGCAGCAGCAGTATACCACATTTTGCGGTTATATTTGCAGCAATTTCTATACCGCATTAAGCTGTTAAATTTGCAGCAATACCTCCTCCTAAATGAGCATGCAGCCAAAGCGTACAGCTTTATGCAGCTGCAGCAGTATAGTGCATTAAGCTGTTACATTTGCAGCAATTCCTATAACGCATTAAGCTGTTACATTTGCAGCAATTCCTATACCGCATTAAGCTGCTAAATTTGCAGCAATACCTCCTCCACAATCAACATGCGGCCACAGTGTACGGCTTTAAGCTGCAGCAGCAGTATACCACATTACGCTGTTACATTTTCAGCAATTTCCCCTCCTAAATGAACATGCAGCAGCAGTATATCACATTTTGCGGTTATATTTGCAGCAATTTCTATACCGCATTAAGCTGTTACATTTTCAGCAATTCCCCCTCCTAAATGAGCATGCAGCAGCAGTATACCACATTTTGCTGTTATATTTGCAGCAATTCGTATATCGCATTAAACTGTTACATTTTCAGCAATTCCCCCTCCTAAATGAGCATGCAGCAGCAGTATACCACATTTTGCTGTTATATTTGCAGCAATTCCTATACCGCATTAAGCTGTTACATTTTCAGCAATTCTCCCTCCTAAATGAACATGCAGCAGCAGTATACCACATTTTGCTGTTATATTTTCAGCAATTCCCCCTCTTAAATGAGCATGCAGCAGCAGTATACCACATTTTGCTGTTATATTTGCAGCAATTCGTATATCGCATTAAGCTGTTAAATTTGCAGCAATTCCTCCTCCTAAATGAGCATGCGGCAGCGGTATATCGCATTTAGCCATAACATTTGCAGCAATACTTCCTCCTAAATCAACACACAGCCACAGTGTACGGCTTTAAGCTGCAGCAGCAGTATACCACATTACGCTGTTACATTTTCAGCAATTCCCCCTCCTAAATGAGCATGCAGCAGCAGTATACCACATTTTGCGGTTATATTTGCAGCAATTTCTATACCGCATTAAGCTGTTACATTTTCAGCAATTCCCCCTCCTAAATGAGCATGCAGCAGCAGTATACCACATTTTGCTGCTATATTTGCAGCAATTCGTATATCCCATTAAACTGTTAAATTTGCAGCAATTCCTCCTCCTAAATGAGCATGCGGCAGCGGTATATTGCATTTAGCCATTACATTTGCAGCAATACCTCTTCCTAAATCAACATGCGGCCACAGTGTTCGGCTTTAAGCTGCAGCAGCAGTATACCACATTACGCTGTTACATTTTCAGCAATTCCCCCTCCTAAATGAGCTTGCAGCAGCAGTATACCACATTTTGCTGTTATATTTGCAGCAATTCCTATACCGCATTAAGCTGTTACATTTTCAGCAATTCTCCCTCCTAAATGAGCATGCGGCAGCAGTATACCACATTTTGCTGTTATATTTGCAGCAATTCGTATATCTCATTAAGCTGTTAAATTTGTAGCAATTCCTCCTCCTAAATGAGCATGCGGCAGCGGTATATCGCATTTAGCTGTTAAATTTGCAGCAATTCCTATACCGCATTAAGCTGTTAAATTTGCAGCAATACCTCCTCCACAATCAACATGCCGCCACAGTGTACGGCTTTAAGCAGCAGCAGCAGTATACCACATTACGCTGTTACATTTTCAGCAATTCCCCCTCCTAAATGAGCATGCAGCAGCAGTATACCACATTTTGTTGTTATATTTGCTGCAATTCCTATACCACATTAAGCTGTTACATTTGCAGCAATTGCTCCTAAATAAAAGAATCCTCCTTCAAGTAACAGTTTTCTGTCTTTTTCGTAGGTGTATGAAGTCAAACCAAGCAGCAACATAGTGGAGAAAATCCGACGGTTCATCCACAAAGTCACGGATCCGCTCCACCCCAAAGTGGGTCCCAAACGGCGGGAAGATGAGAAATCGCTCTCGCTTCCTTTTTCAAGGGAGAAGCAACATCTGTGAGTAGAACGTCTGTCCTTTCATCCCTTGATCGTAGAAGTGCTTGATAATCTCCGGTAGTTTAAAAGCAGAAAAGGCAGCCTGATGAATCTATAGGATCTAGTTCTACGGGCGGTCCAGCTCTCTGCTCTGCTCTCTGAGGTCATCAGGGATTGACTCTTTGCTCCTTCTGATGTGAATGGAAGCTGACTGGAAGCTGCAGCATCACACTGGGCCTGAACACGTGAGAGGCTGCAGCTGAGTTTAGTTTAAGGATTAACACCATCACCTTCCTCTCCGCTCATCTATTTCATGGGGCATTGCTGAGACCAGCCTGGGAAATGCCTTATGTTACCAAGAGGACATCAGAAAAATGTTTGTCTTATATAAACTGTTATCAAACAGAGTGTTTATGCAGGACAGCTGCTATAATGAAACAGTGAGGCTGTCAGATAAAGATGATTCAGTCTGACTGCAGGATGCTTTCCTCCAGCAGACAAACTCCACTCTGACTCACTGAGGGCAGTCATGTTCTCCAAACAGTGACTGAGGGTTTAGCATTGAATGTGAGGACCACTTGTGAGGCGTCGTGACTTCATGGCGGCGTCTCTGCTTCTAACCAGCGGAGCGCTGCTGGGATGTATGGAGGAGAGAGTGGGCAGTGAGGAGCTAAATTTATCCTCTGACTAACGGCTTCCACATTTCTTCATCTGTTCTGGAGGCACTATGGGACGGATCCCTGAGATCAGGCTGATGGTTTAACCCAATCAGAGGGACCCTCCGTATTCTTGGAGGGTTTCTCTTTTCTTGGATCAGTCAACAGTCAAATATCTATTATTATTAAGAATTAAGGTTGTTCATATGAACAATTAAGTCATTTTCAAACACCTGACTCTCCTGAAAATTGGGGCAGTTAAAGTTTAGGAAATGTTCAGTTTTGTCCATCTAATAATATTCTAATCCAGCGCCTTCATTTATGAGGCCTGACATGATGCATGATTTGTTGCTCATCCATATTTTCCATTTTTCCTTTTTGTTTTTTTTTGTCATACCTTTGTTTTCTAGGCACCCAAAAAAAAATCTTCCATTCAATTAAATTATCCGTTAATTATTATCCGAAACAGGCTGATATTTTAAATTACTATATGAAATAAGAGAAACAAAACTTTCTGACCAAACTTTATACCGTTGAGCTGAGACATCTGGTCTGCTTTGAGAGGCTCTGCGTCCCTGCGGCACGTCGGGCTTCTCTCCCTGTTTCCGTGGAGACGATGCATCTCTCTGTGAACATTAAAATGTCCTCCAGCAAATTTATGCAGACTTCGGTTCTTTGTGGAATTCTGATGCATTGATCCACCTCTTTTTTTTTTTTTTTTTTTTGTCATGAGCAGAACCATTGTGTATATTTAGAAATAAGGCAACATTATATTTATAAACTTTATTAAAATATTATAACATGTAATGTTTGCTATCGAGAGATTAATCTTCAGATCACCCAGGATTGTTTCTATGTGGCTGTTATTTCTAGGCTCCACCCCTATCACTGTGCTGAGATGATGTTCTCTCTCCAATCTTTTTTTCTGGGTTGTTTTTGTAGTAAATTAGGTTCTTTCCTTTTTTCTCTCCCCCAGTTTTGACTTGTCTGACAGAGACCAGTTCTTTGACACCAAGACGAGAAGCTACATTGTAAGTATTCAGCAGAACGGCTGTTAGGAGATGATGATGATCATGTTAAACTGTTCCGTCACAGAGATGAACATCAACCGTCTGCGCTCACAGATAAACACACCCGCCAAACGCCCACACAGGACTAGTCTGTGCATCACTAGTCAATCTGCAGACTGACCTAAATCTGATGAATGTTGTGTTCAGGATCCCAGTCAGGCTGATTAGAACCAGTGGAAACGCTCAGATCTGACTTCAAGCTACATTCAGTAGTGGTCCTGAATCACATCTCTTATTTATTGTCTCCTCAGCATTTATTTCTTGTTTATCCAAGGAGCAAACAATCATCCACTGCAACCAGGTTTCAGTTTTTATTATTTTACTGACTTTACTTTCTTGTATCTGCAGGTCTCTGAAGTCCTGAAGAGGATAAAATGCACCAGACCCAACTACTCTATGGGTAAAGTCTGTCTGAGATACCAGCACAGATATGATGAAATATGTGACATTCTTTGGTGGTTTGTTAAAAACTAAGGTCCGCACGCAGCTAGAAGCATTGGAATTCTGTCACATATATTTAATTCTTTTTATTTTACATTTTGTTGGTCTGCACAGCTTAATGAATTAAAGCAGAGCTACAGACTCGGTTAAAGAAACGCCTTCATTTTAAAGCTGCGTCTGATTATTTTGAAAATGTATTAATCTGTTGATTGTTTTTTTGATTGAAAATCAGATAGTTTCACATGTTAAGATACAGTAAGGCCTTCATTGGGTCACAGCTTTCTGCTTCAACCCTCTAAGGATGGCGGCGGCTTTTTTCTGCTTTTAAAAGGGGGGGAAGCGGGTCAAATGAGATCGGGAGAAAATGGAGCACTAAGAAGATTTTTTGTTATGAAATGACAAAAAGATGAAACTAAAACTTTTAGAGCTGAGAAGTTTTAGGTGGAGCAGATTAATAAAGGAAAATCATTTTTTTAATCTAAAATGTAAAATGTTAATATTTTTTAAATCTGTCAGATAATGGCACGTTTTACAGTCTCAATTCTTCAGTTAACGATTATCGATTATTAAATTAGTTGACGATTGTTTCGATAATCAATTAATCAGGATTCTTTCAAAGGGAAATAGATGTTTTTTGACGTTTTTTCTCAACCAGCTGTTGTAGATGTTGCAGGTTCTTGAGTCTACGACTGACTGAACAAACTTAAAATCATTAAAATATATTTTTTTCTTTTTAAAAAGATAAAAACTTTAACCCAGCAGAAAGCTGTAACCCAATGGTGAAGGCATAGTTGTATCTTAAAACAACAACATAAAACATATAATACTTGTGAAAAAATAGTTTTTATACATGTTTAAGAGATTTTAAAGCCCCATTTGAAAGACACGTGGAGGAAACGCCATGTGACTGAGTTTTGGTCATTTCTATGAATAGGTGTACCGGGCCCGCCGGGCTTAAGGGGTTAGGCTCTCTGTGGGTTTGGCTCTGGGTGTTCCTGCTGAGTGTGTGTTTGTGTATTTACCTGTTTTCATGCTAATCCTGGTGATCATGCTTCCTACAGGGATCACCAGTCTGCTAGCCAACGGTGTTTACACGTCTGGTTACCCCCTGCATGATGTGAGTACCAACAGCTCATTTCATCCTTTATGATCCCTTCTGGAGGCCCTCGGCCATCACTTCCAACAACCACTGGAAAAAGATAAGGCTGTCTGGGTTCAGGTGGACAGATGTTCTTATATGACTCCTTGTTTCAGCAGCACATTTCTGTAATGTTATCATGTATCCTTTCATAATCCATAAACCCCCCGCTTTGCCAGTTGCATCTAAAATAATCCAAAAACATCCCCTAATAAAAAATTTTTCTAAATGCATGAAGCAGAGCCTCTGTACCCCTTTCCCTCTAATGTTTTAGAAATGATCTGTTTATATATCCTCAGTTTTGAATATTTTTGCAAATCATTTTTTTGCTAAAGTTAATTGGTTCATTGTTTATCAGAAACTCTTCTAAAGTCGCAAAGATGCTGCGCTAAAGAAACTAGCTGTCGGATCATATTCTGCTCTCAAGAGCCTCACCTTCTTCACAAATAACGATAAACGACGAGTTCTAGGCTACTACTACTGGTTTTTAGGCAACCAATGTACAACGCCCCTGATCCACCGTAACCATTATGGGTTGGTATGAGTAAAATGGGATTACCTTTATGGGTTGGTATGAGTAAAATGGGATTACCTTTATGGGTTGGTATGAGTAAAATAGGATTACCTTTATGGGATGGTATGAGTAAAATGGGATTACCTTTATGGGTTGGTATGAGTAAAATAGGATTACCTTTATGGGATGGTATGAGTAAAATGGGATTACCTTTCTGGGTTAGTATGAGTAAAATGGGATTTCCTTTATGGGATGGTATGAGTAAAATGGGATTTCCTTTATGGGATGGTATGAGTAAAATAGGATTACCTTTATGGGTTGGTATGAGTAAAATGGGATTACCTTTCTGGGTTAGTATGAGTAAAATGGGATTTCCTTTATGGGATGGTATGAGTAAAATAGGATTACCTTTATGGGATGGTATTAGTAAAATGGGATTACCTTTATGGGTTGGTATGAGTAAAATGGGATTACCTTTATGGGTTGGTATACTGTAAAATGGGATTACCTTTATGGGTTGGTATGAGTAAAATGGGATTACCTTTATGGGTTGGTATACTGTAAGTAAAATGGGATTACCTTTATGGGATGGTATGAGTAAAATGGGATTACCTTTATGGGATGGTATGAGTAAAATGGGATTACCTTTAAGGGTTGGTATGAGTAAAATGGGATTACCTTTCTGGGTTGGTATGAGTAAAATGGGATTTCCTTTATGGAATGGTATGAGTAAAATAGGATTACCTTTCTGGGTTGGTATGAGTAAAATGGGATTTCCTTTATGGAATGGTATGAGTAAAATAGGATTACCTTTATGGATGGTATGAGTAAAATGGGATTACCTTTAAGGGTTGGTATGAGTAAAATGGGATTTCCTTTATGGAATGGTATGAGTAAAATAGGATTACCTTTATGGGATGGTATGAGTAAAATGGGATTACCTTTAAGGGTTGGTATGAGTAAAATGGGATTACCTTTCTGGGTTGGTATGAGTAAAATGGGATTTCCTTTATGGAATGGTATGAGTAAAATAGGATTACCTTTCTGGGTTGGTATGAGTAAAATGGGATTTCCTTTATGGAATGGTATGAGTAAAATAGGATTACCTTTATGGATGGTATGAGTAAAATGGGATTACCTTTCTGGGTTGGTATGAGTAAAATGGGATTTCCTTTATGGAATGGTATGAGTAAAATAGGATTACCTTTATGGATGGTATGAGTAAAATGGGATTACCTTTAAGGGTTGGTATGAGTAAAATGGGATTACCTTTCTGGGTTGGTATGAGTAAAATGGGATTTCCTTTATGGAATGGTATGAGTAAAATAGGATTACCTTTATGGATGGTATGAGTAAAATGGGATTACCTTTAAGGGTTGGTATGAGTAAAATGGGATTACCTTTCTGGGTTGGTATGAGTAAAATGGGATTTCCTTTATGGAATGGTATGAGTAAAATAGGATTACCTTTATGGATGGTATGAGTAAAATGGGATTACCTTTATGGGTCGGTATGAGTAAAATGGGATTACCTTTATGGGTTGGCAGTGTTGGGCACGTTACTTTGAAAAAGTAATTAGTTATAGTTACTAGTTACTTCTCCCAAAAAGTAACTGAGTTACTAACTAGGTTACTCCACAATAAAAGTAACTAGTTATTAGTAAAAGTAACTATTGCGTTACTTTTGCGTTTCCTCGCCCCCGTAAACCTCACCACCCAGCCCCCACCTTCTCGCCGTGTGTTTCCAAAGCCAGCTGAATAGAGCGGACATTCAGATCCGGTGAGTATATGAAATTAATAACTGGGGATGTCTAATTCTGTAATCCTGTGTGTTTGGGTTGTTATAGATACTGCAACATCTATCTATCCATCTATCTATCTAGATGTATACTCTGTGTGTGACATAAAATATGGATCTCCATCCCTGCCACAAAGGCCATCAAATAATGTTTAAAATAAAAAATACAGTAGGTTGAGAAGGCAGAGTATCCATCCATCCATCCATCCATCCATCCATCCATCCATCCATCAATCCAGATTTCTCCCTTTCTCCATATAGGCTATCATTTCTGGCTGTTGTCAGGTTCATTTGATCGTTCACCCTCTCCATAGTTCTCCTGTGGCGCGAGCACAGAGCGACTGTTGCGCGCCTTTAGCGAGCATGCGCGTTTCCTGTCGCTTGCGCAGTGACTCTTGCCGCCTGCGCTGTGTGGAGATGCAGAGGAAACCGTTATGTGATGGGGAAACGCAGCTCTACGTAACACCGGTATTTCCATGTGGAAAACACTGTTTTGCTGCTGGAGTCATCCTCACTCTCCATCTCTCTGTGTGTGCTGTACGTTAACACCCGCCAGCAGAAACACCCACCTATTCAACTGACAGACGGAATCTCATCCTCCCCTCTCTCATGACAAGGCGCGCACCTCTGGATGACCTAAAAAAATAATCTTTAATATCTCTTAAACAAAAGTAGCACAAACAATATTTTTTTCTGCTCAAATCTGCACTAACGTTGCACTAACCATTCAGTCTATTTGCAGAGTTTTTTGACGTGGGTGGGGTGTCAGCTTCACGCAGCTGCGCACAAGTCCTATCATGAAAAAAGGTTCATTGTGCGACCTGAGTAACGCGCAGTAACGGGGTGCCTGCAATGGTAACTGCGTTATAGTTACAGTCAAAGTAATTAGTTAGATTACTCGTTACTAAAACAAGGTAACGGCGTTAGTAACGCCGTTAGTTTCAACGCCGTTAGTCCCATCACTGTGGGTTGGTATACTGTAAAATGGGATTACCTTTATGGGTTGGTATGAGTAAAATGGGTTTACCTTTATGGGTTGGTATACTGTAAGTAAAATGGGATTACCTTTATGGGATGGTATGAGTCAAATGGGATTACCTTTATGGGATAGTATGAGTAAAGTGTGATTACCTTTATGGGTTGGTATGAGTAAAATGGGATTACCTTTATGGGTTGGTATGAGTAAAATGGGATGACCTTTATGGGTTGGTATGAGTAAAATGGGATTACCTTTATGGGTTGGTATGAGTAAAATGGGATGACCTTTATGGGTTGGTATGAGTAAAGTGTGATTACCTTTATGGGTTGGTATGAGTAAAATGGGATTACCTTTATGGGTTGGTATGAGTAAAATGGGATGACCTTTATGGGTTGGTATGAGTAAAATGGGATTACCTTTATGGGATGGTATGAGTAAAATGGGATTACCTTTATGTGTTGGTATACTGTAAGTAAAATGGGATTACCTTTATGGATTGGTATGAGTAAAATGGGATTACCTTTATGGGTTGGTATGGGTAAAATGGGATTACCTTTATGGGTTGGTATGAGTAAAGTGGGATTACCTTTATGGGTTGGTATGAGTAAAGTGGGATTACAGAATAAGACAACAGTTGAACTCATAGGAAGAAAGCGAACGGCCCAGTCTGCACCAAATATCATGTGTCACTAGATATTATTATAAGAATCAAAGCTAACAATATATGGAGAACTGTTTCTACAGTTAAATAGTCAGACATTAGGAGCGATATTTATGGTTATTTAGCGTGTTTTAAGAGAAAAATAAGGGGGTTATTTTTTTCCAAGTCATTTTTTCCACTATGTCATTCATTCATTTATAAAAAAAAATCTTACTTTGTTGAATAAATATTTAGTTAAATATTTAGTTTGTTAAATAAATATTTAGCTCCGAACTAAATATTTATTTAACAAACTAAATACTTTGCTCGCTTGGTGCCAGCTAAGTATTTAGCGACGATGCAAATTCACTTGCCTAAAAGCAGATACAACCCCTGCCGCATCTTCGTCACACTGACAGGAAATAAGTTAATTTATGAAAAAAATGTAATCAATTCCTAAATGAAAGGTCCTATTTGAAATGGTTTTATTTGACCGTATACATTAGTTTTAAGAAAGGAGCAAATGTTTAATGTGGTGTTAACCTGCACCACAGAGCTACAGCCACACACGGGGCATCACTGTGTTGCCATAGCAACGACTGCTTTCCCTTTATGCTGGAGGGGAGAAGCCGTTCCATTTGTCGTTCACTACCCCCCCTTCATCGAGAGTGACAATGATAGTGAAGGGTTAGTGCTAAGGGGTAGTTTGGGATTCAGCCGACGTCAAAGCGACTAAACTGAAAGCAGTTTCTGGCCTGGAGCCGTAGGAGTTGAATAAATATTCCCAGGATTTTACTTTGATTGTTCATTTCTGCTTTTCGGCATTTGCTAAACATTCTGAAATTTAACACAAACTTTCTCTCTTACAGGGAGACATTGAGGGGGCTAATGCAGAGCCTAATGACAGGAAGGTAAGTGGAACATTTCCAGTACCGGTACTAGTTGGGTTTGGGTCATATAATCCCTGCCTGATCAATACAAGCATAGAAGTACTAGCCTTTTTTGCTGATATAAAATCCTTTTTAAAGACATTGATTTGAACTAAACATTACTATTAATCCTGAAATAAAAGTTCAGTTTGGGATGCAGCCACATCTGTTCCTCGATGACCAGAACCATGAAACCATCTTAAGATCATAAACCTGTAACTGCAGGTTTCCACATCTGGCCGATGAAGCCGTTGTTCTGTCAGACCAGTATACCCATTGTCAGTACCATTTATCCCTATAGTTATTCCCTTATAAAATAGACTTTAAACTGTGGAAGCTCATTGGTAGAATTCTCTTATGACAGAAAGAAGGACACTTGCACACGATTTACATCATTTTGTCCTCCGGCGGGGGGAAACATTCATTTACTATTCGAATTCCTACAGCTGTCTTAAAGGAATAGTACACCCAAAACATAATTAGCCTTCATTTTCTACTCACCCCCATGCTGAACAACACTCTGGAGTACTTTTTTGATATCTCAAATGCATCTGGAGATCTGGGAGGCTTCTTGCTGTCTGCTGACATTCAAATAATGGAGGTCTATGGTGACCGAGACAGAAAGGTCCATAAAAGTCCACAAAAAACGTGTCAATATTCCTCCATACTGCTCGTCCAATGTATTCCAAGTGTCCTGAGTGGGTAGCATCCAGAATTTACTCGAAACGAAGTCATTTAGAATGTTTTTAGAGCATAAACAGTAGTTTATAGGATTTCCTGAAAGCGCGCTCACGACGCTACGGAAGCCGGCAGATCAAACCAGATGAAAGTGCGCATTCAGCGTCTGCTCTTCCAATAATGCAAGCGTAGAAGAAGAAATGTGCTGTTTACCTGTGCAAAAAGAAACAACGAAAGAAAAATATCTGAGGACTTCAGTGTTGAGGAAGAGCATGAGTTCTTTGCCGAGCTGAATGCGCTGGTTTGGTCTGCCGGCTTCCGTAGCGTCGTGAGCGCGCCTGTGCGCGCTTTCAGGAAATCCTATACACTACTGTTTATGCTCTAAAAACATTCTAAATGACTTCGTTTCGAGTAAATTCTGGATGCTACCCACTCAGGACACTTGGAATACATTGGACGAGCAGTATGGAGGAATATTGACATGTTTTTTGTGGACTTTTATGGACCTTTCTGTCTCGGTCACCATAGACCTCCATTATTTGAATGTCAGCAGACAGCAAGAAGCCTCCCAGATCTCCAGATGCATTTGAGATATCAAAAAAGTACTCCAGAGTGTTGTTCAGCATGGAGGTGAGTAGAAAATGAAGGCTAATCATGTTTTGGGTGTACTATTCCTTTAAACACTTCATAATTCAGCGCTACATCGTCAGACATCTCAGTTTCCCCCCAAATGGCAGACACGTACAAAGATTTGTACGTGACCTCCAGCATGCATTATTTCTGTGTCCGGTCCTCTGCATATTATGTGTTGCTAAGAATAAGGCCTTGAAATATGTTTGCACAGTGTGAAAACTATAAAACACCATCAAAACTACCTCAACGGACATGTATCCATTTAGTCATGTACAACAAAAACTATTTAATGACTTTTTGGTGTTTTTTTAAGCATATGGCAAACTGACCTTTAAATAGTTGTTTTTTGTACATGACTAAAGGGTTACACGCCCACTGCAGTAGTTTAAAGTCTATTTTTGGTTGAAAACTAAAGGGATAAATGCAAATCTGACATCTTGCGCATGGGATATGCTGATCTGATGGGGTATGCTGATCTGATCTGATGGGGTATGCTGATCTGATCTGATGGGGTATGCTGATCTGACAGAGCAGCGGCTGATAAACAGATGGTTCAGTCTGCAGCTCTCCTTCACATGCTTAAACCACATAGTGAGAAATACTCCCTCTGCACATCCAACCTGTGCAGATTTGCACATTTCTGAGCCTGCTTCTCTTATAGAAGATGAAAATCAAAGCTCATGGACTTAAAGTCTTCTGCTCTCCGTACATAATTATATTGTAGGTTGCGTCACTAAGGCAACAGTTCAATAAATGTCTCCCATTCCTCTCAAGCATGAGGAAAACCTTTGGTTGGATGTAGAAACAGGCCTGAGCCTCAGATTGCCACTCAAACTCCTCCGCAGGCTGCTGCTTGGTGGTCAAACCACTTCATTGCTGCTCCGCCTGAAGCCGGAGAGCATCAACAGCCGCTGTGCTAATCGGCTACGAGCCGCAGGATCAGAGCTCTAATGACTGAGGAGGAGACGCTCGTTCTGCAGGGATTTATGTTTTACTACATAGAGCTAGATCACACAGAAGTCTGAAGGGAAGCTGTGAAATCAACCGACCTGAAAGCACCAGACAGAATCAGGCAGCTGACCTTACAGTCAGAGTAGAACAACAAACGATTGTTGTTGTTTTTTTCTAAAATGAGAATTAAAAATAAAAAGCTTCGCTGCAATGGAAAAAAAATCTAAATCTCTAAGTAATTTTTCTTAAAATAAGTCCATTTGTTCTTGGATTGAGGAGATAAGAGACATTTTGTCAATTGAACAATTTACATTTAAAATTGTCTTATTTCAAGTGCATATTATCTAATTATCTTATTTTAAGAGTAAATACTCATTCCATTGGCAAACTATCTCATTTACCTACTCAGATTAAGGGCAAATACACTTAATTAATGAAATGTTAACTTGTTTCTTGATCGTTGTTCCGTTGTGATCTGGAGGTGGTTTAATGAGAGACGAGCAGAAAGTAAACTGAAGAAACGTCACAGTAACCAACATCTAATGACCTCAACCTTTGAAAGTCAGTCACTCAACCTTTTCAGTGTTAAAAAGGTTATTATGGGGAGCCATTTGTTGAGTTACGCAATAAAAAGTAGACATATTTATGGTTATTTAGCGAGTTTAACGAGAAAAATAAGGGGGTTATTTTTTCACTCTGATTCTTATAAATGAATGATTGACGCAGTGAAAAGTCCTTTATTTTTCTCTTAGAACACCATCAGGTTTGTTGATTTAATCCCAGTTCTCTCCTGAACCGTTAAATCTGTGGGATTGAGACGGTGATGGTGGCGTCTGCCTTGTTTTCACAGCTGCTGTTCGAGGAGTGGGCAAGCTACAGCGTTTTCTACAAGTATCAGCCCATCGGACTCATCAGGTCAGACACCTGCAGCTATGCTACACCTGTATTCACAGACGGGACGGGGAACGGGCGGAGATTAATCCAGAAACCTGGAAATGATCTTAGATGAGAATAAAGGCTAAAGCTGTAGCCCTGATGGTGACACCTAGTGGAAGGTTTAAAAACGGGTCATTAAGGGACACATCATAGACATTGGCTCTGTTCGAAAACCTAGGACGCATCCTTAGAAGACCGGATTCGAAGGCCGATTACGTCATAGCGCGGCGCCGAGGTCTGGTCGGATTCCAAGAGTCCTCGTTATGCGGCCTTAAAATGCGTCCTTCTTTTTGCCCGATTTGAAGGACGGGTCCGATGTATCCTCGGTATTCTTGGATATCCCAGGATTCATTGCGAGACCAAGCAAGCTGTATCAGAGTAAAGGTTACTTGGCGCCGAACAGTGGTGAAGATTGGAAGTTCAGTTTAATATAATACAACTCTGTGAATAGTTCTGTCTGAAATGAATGAAAATAGTTGTTTTAATGGTTACTGAGTCAGATATGTGGCGGTAATGTTTGATTTATCTAAAGGTTTTAATCTGTTACTGTGTAAATGGGTTTGGCTGTAATTTAAGGACAGATTCTAATATACACTATATTGCCAAAAGTATTTGCTCACCTGCCTTGACTCACATATGAGCTTAAGTGACATCCCGTTCCTAATCCATAGGGTTCAATATGACGTCGGTCCACCCTTTGCAGCTAGAACAGCTTCAACTCTTCTGGGAAGGCTGTCCACAAGGTTTAGGAGTGTGTTTATGGGAATTTTTGACCATTCTTCCAGAAGCGCATTTGTGAGGTCGCACACTGATGTTGGACGAGAAGGCCTGGCTCTCAGTCTCCGCTCTAATTCATCCCAAAGGTGTTCTATCGGGTTGAGGTCAGGACTCTGTGCAGGCCAGTCAAGTTCATCCACACCAGACTCTGTCATCCATGTCTTTATGGACCTTGCTTTGTGCACTGGTGCACAGTCATGTTGGAAGAGGAAGGGGCCAGCTCCAAACTGTTCCCACAAAGTTGGGAGCATGGAATTGTCCAAAATGTCTTGGTATGCTGAAGCATTCAGAGTTCCTTTCACTGGAACTAAGGGGCCAAGCCCAGCTCCTGAAAAACAACCCCACACCATAATCCCCCCTCCACCAAACTTTACACTTGGCACAATGCAGTCAGACAAGTACCGTTCTCCTGGCAACCGCCAAACCCAGACCCGTCCATCAGATTGCCAGATGGAGAAGCGCGATTCGTCACTCCAGAGAACGCGTCTCCACTGCTCTAGAGTCCAGTGGCGGCGTGCTTTACACCACCGCATCCGACGCTTTGCATTGCACTTGGTGATGTATGGCTTGGATGCAGCTGCTCGACCATGGAAACCCATTCCATGAAGCTCTCTGCGCACTGTTCTTGAGCTAATCTGAAGGCCACATGAAGTTTGGAGGTCTGTAGTGATTGACTCTGCAGAAAGTTGGCGACCTCTTCGCACTATGCGCGTCAGCATCCGCTGACCCCGCTCCGTCAGTTTACGTGGCCTACCACTTCGTGGCTGAGTTGCTGTCGTTCCCAAACACTTCCATTTTCTTATAATACAGCTGACAGTTGACTGTGGAATATTTAGGAGCGAGGAAATTTCACGACTGGATTTGTTGCACAGGTGGCATCCTATCACAGTTCCACGCTGGAATTCACTGAGCTCCTGAGAGCGACCCATTCTTTCACAAATGTTTGTAAAAACAGTCTGCATGCCTAGGTGCTTGAATTTATACACCTGTGGCCATGGAAGTGATTGGAACACCTGATTCCAATAATTTGGATGGGTGAGCAAATACTTTTGGCAATATAGTGTATTTGCAGGGTGGGAACTATAAATCTGATAGGATTTTTATCTTTTTATTGCTGTTTTGCACAATATGCTTAACTTCGTATTTTTTGTTGTTGAATATTAGAGATTTTGCAGATATATTTTTTATAAATATATTGTTTAGATTTACTTATATCTTTCTACCCCTTTTATAGAATAGAATAGAAAATCCCTTTATTGTCCCACAATGGGAAAATTTACAGCAGCAGAAAGATTATTGAAAGTGGTCACACAAATGTGGACCTTAGAAAAATGTATAAGAATAACATAATAGGGAAGAGTTAAAATATAAACAATAAAATACTGTAAAGTGTTTTAACAATATAAAACTGGAGAATAAATAACCAATATGCAGCTATGGACATTTTTACATTAATGGATATTTGAAAATAGCAGCAGCATCAGAGATGTTCAGAATGACAGCAGCAGGTTATTTAACTGACTAAGGTTTCTATCATTACATTTGATTTGATTTGTTCCTGCTCCCGGTGGTTGGAACCTTTATTCCACTCTGGATTCTTGTGAGTGTAGTCTTTGTTCACTTCACAATAAAAAAGAAATAGATAAACAGTTTTGAAAACTTCTGTATTCATTCTTTTCCTGCTTTGTGTGTCAACGTTCACGGTTGCTAAGCAACAGAGCATACTGCGGTAAAACCCGCCGAAGGGTAGACCTGGTCGAATTTACAGCCAAAACTCTTCCGGTCTCCTTATTTTCAAGGACTTCGAAGGATCCAGTCTAGGTAGACCGCATCCTTGGAGGACCCGTCCTAGGTTTTCGAACAGAGCCATAATATACATAGACGCCTCATTGGATGCCGGCCGACGTGCCTAGATGGCGGCCATTTTGGATCAGACCACAGTTCAGACACATGAATCACATGAAAGACGAGTGAAAGATAATATTACAATAATCTTTGACATTTCACAACCCCTTAAAAGATCCAAACAAATTCTAAAATATCAATATGTATATTATATATGAAGTACATTCACTGATTAAAGAACAAACCTTCACATATGCATAAATAACGATAAAAAAAAAACTATTTGAAAAAGAGTTTTGGAAGAAGTTTACACAAACTTAGGTCTCGACAATGACAAAAAAACCATTACTCTCTTTTGTAAATCACATTAAAATAAATTTTCTTCTATACATTATGATACTTATTATCAAAGAGCAATGCTTGAAAATACTGAATAACCTGTGTTGAGATATATATATCTATATATATATATATATATATATATATATATATATATATATATATATATATTTATTTATTTAATTGTAAAATTTATAACTTTTTATCTTATCCAGTTTGTGTTCAGTCTAAATAGTTTGAACCTGAATAAATCTGTAATGTCACTGAAAGGTCATTTTAGAATTAGTTTTGGTCTTTTTAGGGGTTGTGACTTGTCAGAGATTATTATAATACCATATCTGACTCGTCTTTCATGTGATTAAAATGAGATCTAAGGCGCCTCCTGTTCTTTCTGACAGCAGCTGTCTGAACTGTGGTCTGATCCAAGATGGCCGCCCTCTAGGCACGTCGGCCTCGCTGCCGGCAGCGTCCAATGAGGCGTCTACGTCTGTAATGTCTATAGGGACAGATAAACAGCAGCTTTTGAACAGAGATGTTTCTCTCCACAGGAAATACTTTGGAGAAAAGGTGGGCCTTTATTTCGCCTGGTTAGGAGTCTACACCCAGATGCTGATTCCAGCTGCCATCGTTGGCGTCATCGTCTTCCTTTACGGCTGCGCCACCGTCGACGATAACATACCCAGGTAGGACCCCCTTCTCCTAAACTCAAATCTAAAAAAGTCATTTTTTTCCTAATCTTACTGCATTCTGTCGTGAATTGAGGAGATACTTTGCCAATGAAACAAGACAATTTACGTTTGAAATAAGAAAAAAAAACATTTGCATCATTTGGTTTCAGGTGCATTTTATCTAATTACCTTATTCTGCATATAAATTTACTCAATCCATAAGAATTTTTTTACTTATTTCTAGGTTGTTTTTGCAGTTCACCTGCTCACACTGCAAAAATGATCTTGAAATAAGTAAAAAAAAAATCTTAAATTTTGTGTATTTGCCCTTAATTTCAGCAGGTAAATAAGATATTTTGCCAATGGAGTGAGTATGTTTCCTCATACAATAAGATAATTAGATAATATGCACTTGAAAGAAGACAACACAATTGTTAGATTTTTTTTTTTATATAAATTGTCTCACTGCAAAAAAATAAAATCTTAATAAGCAAATCTTTTCTTAAAATAAATGCATTTGTTCTTGGATTAAAGAGGTAAGTGAGACACTTTGCCAATGGAACAAGATTATTTACATTTAAAATAAGAAAACACAATTGCACCGTCTTATTTTAAGTGCATATTATCTAATCTTATTTTAAGAGTAAAAATACGCATTCCATCGGCAAACTATCTCATTTACCTACTCAATTTATAGGCTAAATACACTTATTTTAAGAAAAAAATTACTTCAGTTTCAGCATTTTCTGTTATTGTTCCTTTAAGAGGAGTTGCTGAAAACTTTGACTCTCGTTTCTGTGTAGTTTAGTTCTATGAGACTGATACCTGCACACTGGAAACACGATCTAGAAATAAGCAAAAATGTCTTAAATTAGGTGTATTTACCCTTCATTTGAGCAGGTTAATGAGATAGTTTTTCAATAGAATGAGTATTTTTACTCTTAAAATAAGATAATTAGATAATATGTACTTGAAATAAGACAATGCAATTGTGTTTTGTTATTTTAAATGTAAACGGCTCGTTTATTGGCATAATGTCTTTTACCTCCTCAATCCAAGAACGAACACTTATTTTAAGAAAAATTGACTAATCTAGATTTAGATTTTTTCCAGTACAATGGATCAGTCTGCTCCTTATTCTCACAGTTGTAGGTGTGGCCATGCAAAGAGAGCTGAGACTAAAGCGTGTTGCAGGATACGCTCCAGCTGGAGCCATTTAGCAGCAGGCAGGGGCGGATTTAGGAAATGTGGGGCCCTAGGCAAAGACGTTTGGACCTTTCTGAACATGTGCAGCAAATGGACTGATCCAATATGGTGGACACTGAAGGGGGGGGCTGAGACAGACTTAATATCATCAGCGTTCTGATGGTATTTTAGCCAAAGGATTTGATCAAAAACATAATTAATGTGCAGAAATAAGGAATAGTTGTATTAACCTACATGGAAACAGAGTTTTATAAGGCCCCCTGGAACTTGGGGCCGAAGGCTAATGCCTAGTATTCCATAATGGTAAATCCCCCCCGGCAGCTTGCATGTTCAGAGCATGATGGCTGAGGTTAGGCTCCACAGGGGGGTTTGGTTTCAGGAGGCTGTGTCCATGCGACCTCAGAACATCTCCTCCCTGCAGCAGCAGATCACCTGCTGAATAACCAGAAACATCACGTCTGCAGAAACGTACACATTTATCTGTTTATTTTTAAAGTTAGCTTTGCTGACTCTAATCCTGCTTTTGATGTTTTGCTCTTCCTTTTTTCTGGTATCGCGTGCATTAATCCAGATCTTCCTCCTCTCTGCTAGCATGGAGATTTGCGACCCCAGGAATAACATCACCATGTGTCCGCTGTGTGACCGCGCCTGCAGCTACTGGAAGCTGGTGTCGGCCTGCGGCACGGCTAGAGCCAGCCACCTGTTTGACAACCCAGCAACTGTCTTCTTCTCCGTCTTCATGTCGCTTTGGGGTAGGCGTGCATCAAACACTGCAAATACCGAAATATATATATATATATATATTATATTTTATATATGTATACACTATATTGCCAAAAGTATTTGCTCACCCATCCAAATTATTGGAATCAGGTGTTCCAATCACTTCCATGGCCACAGGTGTATAAATTCAAGCACCTAGGCATGCAGACTGTTTTTACAAACATTTGTGAAAGAATGGGTCGCTCTCAGGAGCTCAGTGAATTCCAGCGTGGAACTGTGATAGGATGCCACCTGTGCAACAAATCCAGTCGTGAAATTTCCTCGCTCCTAAATATTCCACAGTCAACTGTCAGCTGTATTATAAGAAAATGGAAGTGTTTGGGAACGACAGCAACTCAGCCACGAAGTGGTAGGCCACGTAAACTGACGGAGCGGGGTCAGCGGATGCTGACGCGCATAGTGCGAAGAGGTCGCCAACTTTCTGCAGAGTCAATCACTACAGACCTCCAAACTTCATGTGGCCTTCAGATTAGCTCAAGAACAGTGCGCAGAGAGCTTCATGGAATGGGTTTCCATGGTCGAGCAGCTGCATCCAAGCCATACATCACCAAGTGCAATGCAAAGCGTCGGATGCGGTGGTGTAAAGCACGCCGCCACTGGACTCTAGAGCAGTGGAGACGCGTTCTCTGGAGTGACGAATCGCGCTTCTCCATCTGGCAATCTGATGGACGGGTCTGGGTTTGGCGGTTGCCAGGAGAACGGTACTTGTCTGACTGCATTGTGCCAAGTGTAAAGTTTGGTGGAGGGGGGATTATGGTGTGGGGTTGTTTTTCAGGAGCTGGGCTTGGCCCCTTAGTTCCAGTGAAAGGAACTCTGAATGCTTCAGCATACCAAGACATTTTGGACAATTCCATGCTCCCAACTTTGTGGGAACAGTTTGGAGCTGGCCCCTTCCTCTTCCAACATGACTGTGCACCAGTGCACAAAGCAAGGTCCATAAAGACATGGATGACAGAGTCTGGTGTGGATGAACTTGACTGGCCTGCACAGAGTCCTGACCTCAACCCGATAGAACACCTTTGGGATGAATTAGAGCGGAGACTGAGAGCCAGGCCTTCTCGTCCAACATCAGTGTGCGACCTCACAAATGCGCTTCTGGAAGAATGGTCAAAAATTCCCATAAACACACTCCTAAACCTTGTGGACAGCCTTCCCAGAAGAGTTGAAGCTGTTCTAGCTGCAAAGGGTGGACCGACGTCATATTGAACCCTATGGATTAGGAACGGGATGTCACTTAAGCTCATATGTGAGTCAAGGCAGGTGAGCAAATACTTTTGGCAATATAGTGTATATATATATATATATATATATATATATATATATATATATATATATATATATATATTGTGAATGAAGGTTAATGTTTCTGACAGATTTTCGGTCCGTAATGAAGGCTTTGAAGGCCCTGACCGCCCACCAGGGGGTAACATTGTTGAAAATGTCTCCAAATATTGACAAATTATTATTTTGGGCCAGAAGCCCTGATGGGGACATCTGAGCCGGAGTCTAGGATCCCACAGTTTGGCTCTTATTCACCTTCTCTCCCCCCCCTGCTGGGTTTTTGTCAGATTATTTTAGTTCAGTTCAACGTTTCCTAGTTTAAAAAAACAGAAGTTTTTTGGTCCTCCAGCGTCTATACATCATTCCTTTCCAACATTCCCGCCCAGCTAGTGTTAATGTGTCGTCTTTCTTAAAGTTTATCTGGAGAATAAAAACAAACCTGTTTAAAAAATCTGTGAGGTTGATTTCATGTCGTTTCTGCTCCTGAAACACAGAAGGTTTGTCTGTAGCTTCTGCTGAGATTGTTTTCTGGATGTGCAGCTGTTCTCTTCATGGAGCACTGGAAGAGGCGGCAGATGCGGCTCAACTATGTCTGGGACCTGACGGATTACGGGCTGGAAGAGGAGGTAAGATCATCCAGTAAAGTCCTTAATCCGACACGTAGAGGCAGCAAACATTGGCTTTTTATCAGTAGACGATGGTTACCGTGGTGGGTTTTTTCTACGCTGGTCTCCACCAAAGTGTAACACATTAAAAAAGCTCCTTATATATATTTTTTAAATCAGATATAAAAAAAAAGAAAACCATAAACTCATAAACATAAAAATTGGTTTCTAATTCTGATGCCTATTAGCTCTAGTTTTCTACTCCATAAACATTTAGTTTTTTAGCCAATATTGGTTCATCTTCACTGTTTTAGCTGATTAAGTGATGTAATTTTTATTATTGGTGGAAAGTGATCAGATATAATCCTTTAGTTAGTAGAAATGCTCCCAAACAGACATAATATTCTTGATGTGACAGAGATGTACAATCCAAGCTTCAACTGATGAGCAGCTTAGCTGCAAACCTGATGCTACGTTCACACCAAACGCGCTTCAAGCAGCAGAATCAGCAAGTTTGCATCTAAAGTCAGTGGTTGACACACAGAAATGTTCATCAAAAGGTCCTGCAGCGTCTAGAGCAGCAGGAGCAGCGGCGGCTCATGAGCTTCTGAGCGTCTGAGGCGCTTCACAAGCAGCAGCTGCTGGAGATGGAAAAATTGGCCTTTAGCTGCCGGACACATCAACCAATGAGAAAAGCTGATCTGGGAGCTGACAGGGAGTCAGACACAGCACTGCTGATGCAGAGCGCTATGATCACTCCTCTGAAACAGTTTATTAACGCCTAAATTAACTTCAAATGTAGAAACCTGCCGGCAGAATATGTTGGCTTTTATTATCCTGCTGCCTGCAGTTTGTAGCACAGACCTGAAAAACGCTAACATCTACTTCCAGACGCCGCCAACAGTAGGGGAAAACCCCCAAGAGGCGAGCGGGCCTGAGGCAGCTGCTGCTGGGGATTCCCAGTGACAGCGCAGCGCCGGTATGTGGGGGTCTGAGCGGCTCCCACAGAGAAATAATCTTTGAAGGCAGGATGGTAATCTGGATGAACTGACTGCACAGACCATGTTTTCAGGAGGACTTTCTCACTTCAACATAGATTCAAACTACTTTTTACCCGCTGATCACAGCTAATATAGCAAAGCTGCTCTCTGGCATTGAACAAAGGAGCAGCAGAAGCATCTGGACTCACTCTGGACGTCTGACATTAATGTGGACAAGCATCAGGAATGAAGCAGCAGAAGCTTCTTTTGATGCTGGAATCATGTCTGGTGTGAACGTAGCATAAGAAGTGGATTAAAGTTTCTGCTGTAGTTCATTTTAACGTCCGGTTCTGGGATGTTTGGAGAAAGGTGGCTCCTTGGTAACGATGTGATCCCAGACTGGGCTATCAGCTCATCTCTGCTACTGCTGATGATGATGATGATTTATGATGATGAAAAAGTATCATTTTGGTTTCTGGAAACACTGACCTGTTCTGTTTTGTTTGTGCTGTGATCTACAGGAGGAACATAAGGTTTGGATCAGAATCTTTGTTTGCTTATTTTTTCTCAGACCACACGCAGCGGCTGTTAGCTCCCCCCCCCTCCCTGTCGCGATGTCTAACAGTCTGCCGTTCATCTGAACCGGTCCTTGTCGGACCCGTTTCACCCCAGACCTGAGACCGCCCTCTGATTCGCCCTCTGGTTACGGCTGCTAGCTTCTGCAGACACTTCCTGATCCTGATGCGTTTTTTCTGCAGATGGCGGCTGATTGACGCATTGCTTTCCTTAAGCCTGTTTCCCGCCGCTGCATTTTACTGATTTCCTAAACAAAATAACCAGAACAAATCATTGTCCGCACAGGAAGGAGCTAGCTCGCTTTCTGGAAAAGAACTCTCGTTCTTTAAGATGCTTGCTGAAGAATTTCCTGCAGGTTAAGATTTTCGTGTTAATTAATCCACAGATTAATCAACAATCTGTCGATTATTTATTTATTTATTTTTTGCTTAATCGATTAATAATCAGATAGTCAAAGGTTCCTTAAAGAAGATTTTTAACAGAATTAAACCAGGTGAAACTAAAACTTGTCCACTTCAGGAGTTCTTGATTATAGAGCAGATTTTTATTTTAAATATAAAAATGGTATAATTCCTGCTCTAATTGAGTCGCTCTGTCACCTCAGTCTTTGCACTCCAGTTAATGATTAATTGATTACTAAATTAGTTGATTATTTCAATAATTGAGTATGAGAATTAATCCATTTAATTGTTTGAGCCCTACTTTTGAGTCGTGGTTTGAATTTGAACGATTCCGATCCATTTCACAGACGTACATTTATCATTAAAAAGCATTTACATAAACCTCGTCTCTGTTGCCGAGGTTCTTATGTGCATCTGCCTGCGGTACGGTTCTGGGCTGGAGGAGGAAGCAGCTCAGCAGGAAGGCCTCCTCACAGACTTTCTATCCTATGCTTTGTTCACTAAACTCGCAGCCGATGGTTTAGTTCTGCGGACAGAGGAACCATCACATTTAATACACTGCAAAAAGTGTAAATCTAAATAAATTATTTAATCTTAAAATAAGTGCATTTATTCTTAAAATCACATGATCTGCCAATGGAATGAGAATATTTACTCTTATAATAAGATAATTAGATATTATGCACTTGTAATTAGACAAAGTAATTGTTTTTTTCTTATTTTAAATGTAAATTGTCTTGTTCCATTGGCAAAGTTTCTCACTTACATCCTCAATTTAAGAAAACAATGCACTTATTTTAAGAAATAGTGACCTATTTGGATTTATTTATTTTTGCAGTGCAGGTCAGAGACGAGCTTAAATCACTGCAAAAATAGAAATCTAAAGGAGTCACTTTTTTTTCTTAAAGTAATGCATATTATTTTAAGATGATTACTTTGTATTATTTTGAGTGCATATTATCTAATTATCTTATTTTAAGAGCAAAAATTACTCATTCTATCGGCAAATCATCTGATTTACCTGCTCAGATTAAGCTTAAATACACTTAATTTAAGACATTTTTTATTTATATCGTTTTTGCTGTGCTGCAAAAAAAGCAATCTAAATCATTTTTTTTTCTCCGTAAAATAAGTGCATTTTTTCCATTAATTGCATTGAATTGCATTTACTGTAGTGTGTTGAACGGTTCCATAAACATAAAATAAATCTTGACGCCTAAAGATTTGATGCACATATAGGGGATAGATGCTAAGCTCTGCTTGTAGCTGAATGAGAAAGTTTTCCCTCTAGTCATCTTTCTAGCTCTGCTGCAGCTTTATTCTGGATTAATGCACCGCACTCTTCTCCAGCACACATCGCCTAACGCACCTCTTTAAAAGCTCTCACTGCTTCCGATGCTCCTCTCTCCAGCTTTACGTCCCTTCAGGACTTCATTTCATGCTTGATATCATGCAGCAATAAAGCAGCCAGCAAACTGCTTTCTGTTTCAGGACCACCACAGAGCCGAGTACGAGCTACGTGTTGCAGAAAAGACCATGAGACAAGATCATGGAGCCCCTAAGGTAAGACTGACGTCCCGCTCCGTCATTTATCCCATCAGTTTTTTGAAGCAGAGCCTCTGAATCATGGAAGCAATTACTTAGTGAATGTGCAGAGATGTCACGTCTCAGGACACCAAGGCCACTGTCACCACCTGATCCGTCCCGAAAGCACGATCCGTTCTGCGCATGCACCATTAGCTCATTTGCACATCTAGATATACATCCGGGTTGCCAAAGATTTTATTTAGTTAAAAATACCTAAATTACGTTTTTCCCCTCCCTAAAAATATGAAGCATACAAAAATGTGAATAAATAAATGAGATCCTTTCTGTTTTATCACTTGTCTGTTGGATGCTGCGCTACTTCCTGAAGCTAACTTTTTCAGCTTTGAATTTAAACATAAATCTAGTCTTTTCTGGAGTTGTATTTTTTCCTTTTGTGTTAACCTTATAGTGCCTGATCTAAAGAAAGAAACAACTAACATGCAGATAAACATGGTTTAATCAGATTTAGCCGCACTGCTCTGAGCATGTCTGATGATGACATCAGAGAAGCAAAAGAAAATATAAAAAGCATCTAAATTGTCTCACAAAAGTCATAAAACATTTTTAAAGACATGTTTTAGCGTTCTTTAGTGAGTTAAGGATAGAAATAAGTAATTTTAGTACAATAATTACATTATCTATGGACACCCAGATGAATATCTGTATCATTCCTTAAGTCTTATTTTTGATCATCTTCCATGAATTAATACTGATCTTTATAGCGTATAATAATTCTCCCTTTATCTGTAAAGCACAGTGAAAATGGCGGCAGGCTGCAGAATAGAACGGAGCAGAAGGAAACTCATCAACAGTCGGTTAAAAAAAATCTGTCACAGTTGCTTTGTCAAGAATAATGGAAACACAATGAGTTGAAAAACAGTTCAGGGGTCAAAGGTCAGGGGGGGGGGGAGGTTAGATTTTGAAATGACGCTTAAGAAGATGAGCCGGTATTTCTGTGTGCAGAGACGGCTCCTCTCCTCTGTGGAAAGCTTTTATTTTAATGTGCATCATTACAGCCTCTGAGCCGCTGACCTCATACGACTGCAGCAGCTCAGAGACGTTTCAAATGCAAAAGGATTGAATTTGGGGAGGGAAGAAATGTACGGTCCAAAGCCGGCGGCGGTGATGACTGATGAAACACGGAGCAGAGGTCAGACCTGGACGCACTGAAACAGGAGAGAAAGCATGGAGGGAGAAGGCGGCGTTCTGTCAGAGTCGGTACGCATGAGCTGTGGAGTCAGCAAACGCTTCACACACATTTAAGAGAATAACATACAGGAAGTCTACTAAGCTATTTTATTCATGCTTGATATGATGAACAAAAAGTTATAGTTGAAGGTAAACACAGAAAATGAGCAAACTGAAGGTGAAGCAGGATAGTTTATTAATGTGTGATGAAATAAACAGCAAAGATTTAGTTTGAGCTAAACAGAATTTAAAGCTAAACTGCTTTAAACACAGACAGCCTCACTTTCAGTGGTCGCTACTTCACACCAGGAGGATTTTATACAAATTAACCTGGAACTGCAGTTTATAACATTTTCATTTTTAGATTTAAAGCTAAATTTCATGATATAAGAAAATAAAATGTGTGGCAAAATTGTACAGCAATTTGATCATGAATTGAACTATTCCTTTAATCCCGACATCGAACGAGAGGATTATTACTTTTATTTATGGACCAACTACAACCTTAGCAGTCGGCATCTTCCTCACGTTTGATTTACTTCAATTTATCTTCCTTCTACTCTGCTAAGCCGAAGTTTGCAACATGACGTAATGTCCAAACCAATGTCATCCACGATCGGCTGAGTGGGAGGTGAGTTTTATACGGGACGCGTTTGTAGATGGCTGCAGGTGCAGCTAGACCTCAACAGCTGAGCATACTGTTGAGTTTAAATCCAGAGACATGTGAGTTTAAAAGATTACGAGGAAATAATCAACACAGAAACAGGGTTTTTTGACGTCAGCCTCTGCAGAAGCGGAGAGAAGGCGTTAGCTCAGAAACCAGCACCTTCTCACACAGATCCCTTCATGGCAAAGCCTTTTATTAACAGTTTACAACATCATAAGGCGGGCCTTAAACAGAAGACCCAGTAATGATTATCTGGGAGGATGCAGGTCATAAGATGACCATCTGGCTGGATGGAAGTCACACAACCGTGTGATTCTGCCTCATGACCTACTGGAGGTCATAAAAGGTTATGACCCTTCTGGTTGAATCACAGGATGCAAATGTAGCATCTTCTTTCTTTCAATGTTTCATATGTCCATACAATAATTTTATAATTATCACTCTAACACATACCTTTTTAGTTTTGTAGGAAAAATACATTTTAAACCACCTCAATGGGCATGTGTCCCTTTAGTCACATACAAAAAACTATTTAAGTAGTTGGTTTTTAGTGTTTTTAAAGCGCATGGCGATCTGACAGCACACATGCGTATTACTCTGGGTATGCTGGTCTGACAGAAAAGTGGGACAGCTGCACAGTAAAATAAAATCCATGTTTTAAACAATCATTTACTTGATTATCCGGCGTCTCGCTCTGCCTCTGAAATCACACCTAATGGAGCTGCGTTCATTCTGAGACCTGCAGAAATGATAAAACCAGAGCGGTGCAGGTTAAAGCTGAGGCTACTGGCGACAGTCTAAGCGACTGCGTCGCAGAGCGGCTGATTAGGGGAATCCTTGCTGACGCGCTGAAAAGTTCAGTCTAAGATGCAGTTCAGATCCTTTTGCTTTATTGATCTTTAAAACATGCAATGCAGCAAACAAGAAAAAAACGAATCCGCAGTTCGAGCCGTGATCAAGCTCAAAAAAGAAAGAACAAAAAAAAAACATCCACAGCTTAAAGCGGGCAGCTAAAAGTAGAAATCCCCCATCAGCCACTCACTGAAACTCATCATCATTACAATCACTGCTGACACCACAGGATCAAAACTACGCATATCCACCACAGAGGCTGTTTATGTGGTTAAGGCAAAGGTCTTGGAATCCTGGGGTTGTCAGTTTAAAACCCACTCCACTGATTGCTCCCCGGGCGCCGCACAATGGCAGCCCACTGCTCCCAAGGTGATGGGTTAAATGCAGAGAGGGAATTTCTCCAATGTGAGATAAAGTTCAGTTTATTTATTTATTGTTCTCTCTACCAAGCTCATGGACTGATGATAAACACATGTTTACCTTTCTGTTGACTTCACATGTTTGTTTTTCTGTTGTTTTAGGAAGAGAAAGTGAAATTAACGTGTACAGACAGAATGCCAGCCTATGCGACGACTGTGGTCATGATGGCCTTTATGGTAAGTTCTCTTTTCTCACATTCAGCCACTGCAAACAGAAACCAGGGGCAAATCTTTCCCATGATGCAGCGGTCAAACATTTAATCCCTGCATTTGGAGGAAGTGCTCACAGCTTAGAGAGCAGAAATAAAAGAGACAGGTTCATGTGACGGATAAAGCCTGCTTGTTTTGGAGCCATCCTAAGGGAACAAGGAACCATGACAACTAGAAAAAACACCCCACGTACATAAATGATGCTAGCAAATAAAAGGCATGAGATGGATTACTGATGCTAGTAGCAACTGCTGCTTTAGACGCAGTGCAACAGAAAAGCTCCAGACCACCAGGGGGAGACACTAAACGGCTCATATGTGACCAGTCCCCAAGTAAAAACAGGCCGTTTCTCAATTCCCAAAAACACGAGTAAGGACTCGTGTTCTCAGCAAGTCCGTTCCTGAGAAGAACCCAGGAAGGTCTGGACTCTGGGAGAACGGGAGCACGCAGAATAAATCAACTGGAACAGAAGCGTACTGATGATATCACCACATTCAAGGCTGAAACAAAATGGAGATTAATTTATTTAATTTATATGAGCTTATAGATAAAAATGAATACATATCATCAATATTGAAATGGCAAATAGGGACAGTGATGCTTTCATCCATTTTTACATATTTATTTAATTTTAAACAACAAAAATCAAGTGTAATATCCAGCAATGTGCGTCTCCATAGTGTTAGTATTTACTAAGATTGATCAAATAATCATTTGATAGTTTTTATTAGAGCCGTCTCTGCATTCTTCCCTCTCCATCTTTTCTTTCTAGCTGACTCCTGCCTGCTCTCTGTTTTAATCTAAGTAGATTGTACCTTCCTTCTCTTTAACTGATCTTTCCATCAGTCTTCCTATTTTCCTCCACTGTCTTCTAATATTTTTCCTCTTCTATCAATCTAACACTAATCTAAAACAGACATAATACAATCAAAATCCCTTCCAAACACATTTAATCCTGTCATATTATTATTATTATTATTATGATTATAATGGTGATTATAATGGTGATTATTGTTGTTGTTGTTATCTCATCTGATTAAATACTAAAAAATGAAGAATAAACAGGTGGTTATCTCCTCCTCCATCATTCTCAGATCATGCAGATCTTGTCTCATTTTCTACACCTAAGCCTGGAAGTCTATGCTCATAAATCCCAACCATGAAACAGAAAAAAAACTTTCACCAATCAGTTGTTAAAAACATCTTATTGATCCTGGAGAACCACTGAACGAGATTAGCTCCTTATAAGGAGTATCATTCTGGTTCATTTGAGTCTATTTCCTCCTGCAGCTGCAGCCAAAGGTCTGTAACGGGAGAATAAAACTTTTTTTGGTCAACATTCACCATTTTAAGGTGGCCATGTTGTATTTGTTATTTTAGGGTCATAAAAAGTTGGTTTTAAACTGAATTTCCTAAGAATTTCAGCAGTAAGGTTCAATGGTGGTGCTTTTATGGTCTCTGTGGGGAAAAACATTTTCAGTGCTTCTTTATTTGAAATGTTTTTTTTTTCCCCACAGAACTTTACCACTTCTGTAAATTACTGATGCAAACAAAGCGGCTTATTGACCGTTTTCATTTTCCTCCTGAAACGCGGTGACATCAGCTCTCTTAACTCTTCCTTCCACAGGCGAGTGGCTCGCCATGTCGCTTTGCCTCAACCAGCTGGCAGCCTGAGTTTCTAGTCTAGACAGGAGAAGCAGCATAGCAGACATTATTCTGTCTGTTCAGTCACAGATACCTTCATCATTCTTCCAGCTTTCCTGTCTCTGAGCAGCAGCCTTTCCCTGCTCTCTTTCAGATAGCGGTAACCTTGGCCATAGTCTTTGGGGTCATCTTGTACCGAATCACCATTAAGACGGCTCTGCACCTGAGCTCCTTCCCCGCGGCGCGCTCCAATGTTCGAGCCACGGTAAAAACCACGGCCGCCATCATGAGTGTCATCATCATCATCATCCTGGATGAGATCTACGCCTCCGTCGCCCGCTGGCTCACCAGAATGGGTGAGGAACCTTGGCTGGGGCGTCCTGACCAGGACGGCTAATGCTGACTGAATTAGTTCATGAACCTTAAAACAAAAACATGAAATAATAACTTTATTCTCTTTTGTATAATCACATTACAACACAGTTTCAACTATAGATATTATTTATATAATACATTCAAATGTCTTAATATAAAGCATTGTTTATCATATTAATAATTGGTTGCGAAATCTATAACTGCATGCAAGGGTGTAGGAATATGTTTACAATTGGGGGGGACACATGTCGGAAATCTGAGATTTGTAAATATTCAACAGAAACATGTCTTAAGTACGCTACTTTAAAAAAAGGCTATTTAATCTTTTACTTTATTCCTTTATAAATGTGTCTTGCAAAAATAATGCATTTAAAATTTACATAATGCATTTGTTCATAAGATGTGAGCATATCACCAAACAAAATGACTGGAGTCTTTTATTAAGCAAAGGGAGATGTCTTTCAAGGGCTTCAGCCCTTGGCATATTTAGTGTCCACATACGCACTAGAAAATCAAATATTTCAGTTGGATTAAAAACAATTCAGTAGGCCACAGAAGTGCAAAGTTTGATATGTTTTATTTTGTCAAACTTGCAATAATGGTCAAAAATGAATTTATATAGATTGACTGACAGAGGGAGCTGACAGTGTGGTGAAGAATTATGGACAGGGCGCTTTGAAGCATCTGGTTCAAAAACGCATTCTAAATCTTTGGTAGAAATCCATCCATCCTTCCATTTTCTGTACACCCTGTCCCTTAGTGGGGTCAGGAGGTGCTGGTGCGCCAGTCTGTCCCGACCTTTGGTAGAAATGGCGTCTTTAATTCCAATTTGCAGTACAGAACAGAGAAAACTACAGAGTTGTCAATGTTGTGTTAATCTGTTTATAGTCTAAAAAGAGGAGCCAGCAGTTTATTTGAGAAAATAAAGGTGCAGAAGTTAATTAGTTGGTTAATTAGTGGTTGTGCAGCAGTTCGCTGCTAAGAATTAAAATTAATTCTCCCTGTGGTTTTAACTAACGATCAGGAGCGCGGCAGGTATAACATCTGTCCATTTCGGCGAATCAAAACCACACAAAAAATAAAAAATCCCAGACCGGGCTAATTTCAACACAAGTTGTGTAAGGTGACTGTTACTCACACTGACGTTTCTCTTTTTTTAAAATCTGAGTAAGTCCTACTGCTGTTTAAGCCTTTTAGTTGGTGGTGGCATTGTACTGAAATGAGATATATAAAAAAAAATAACATTTTGGCTACCGTGGCAAACATCTAGAGAAAGTTAGCAGTTAAATATTGGATGAGTGATCAGCCCAAGACTACGGAAGAGGATTAGGGCCACTGAAAAAAGTTAAGTGATTTTTAAATTTTATTTCAGTTTAATACAGGAAAAAAGTCAGAATTCTGACTTTTTTCTCAGAATTCTGACTTTTTTTCACAGAATTCTGACTTTAATCTCATAATTCTGACTTCTTTCTCAGAATTCTGACTTTAATCTCAGAATTTTGGATCTTAACGTAGATGGGCACCATGAAGGTAGAGATGTGGAGCATTCAGCTTCACTGATAAAGATGTGAGTTGTTTGAGATGGCCAGTGACATATTGGTGAAAAATTACAGAATTAGGCAACTTTTGATGTGCCCGAGGGGTCCCCCTTATAAATGGAGGAGCAGAAGGTCATTAAAACAAGAGAGCTAGTCTCTAAAAGAGACATGGCTATGGCTTGATGCTAACATGTTTGTTGTTAAACATACTTTTGTTATATTACATTTGTGTTGTGTTTTCCAAATAGTGTAGAAAATGAATGGTGGGTTTATAATGTTTACCTTTTATGAGCAGGACAGGAAGCAGAGAAGTGTAGCATTACCTCCAACTAGTTAAACTCCTAATTATGAAATTATTCAACAAATTCCTCAAGTAAAAGAGTGCAACTTTTATTTTTTATTTATTTATTTTTTACCAGATTTGTTGATTAATTTCAAAATTATGTATTCCTTCCAAATTTCCAAATCTGAAGAATTTTTTAAACCAATATCTACATTATTTAACATTTAGTTTGTTTTAGCAGTACTTCCTGTTATATTTCTTTATACGTATATTTTACATTTTCTTGCACAGCAAGCTCAGCAGATTTGAAATTGTGTGCTTGTGTACAAGTAGTAAATCTTTACTCTAAACATATATTCTGGTTATTTTTTAGTTAGACCTTCTTGTTTTTATATATCTGTATAGTACCCCCCCCCCCCCTTGATTAAATATTTCTAATCAAATATTTCTAATTGATTAGAAATATTAATCATCTGTCAGATTTTTGAGAAAAAAGTCAGAATTCTGAGATTAAAGTCAGAATTTTGAGGAAAAAAGTCAGAATTCTGAGATTAAAGTCAGAATTCTGAGATTAAAGTCAGAATTCTGAGATTAAAGTCAGAATTCTGAGAAAAAAGTCAGAAGAAAAAAGTCAGAATTCTGAGATTAAAGTCAGAATTCTGAGAAAAGTCAGAATTCTTACTTTTTTACCCATGTTAAACAAAAAAAAAAATAAAAAATCAGTTAACTTTTTTTTTTCCAGTGGCCCTAATCCTCTTTCGTACAAGACTAAGATGACTAAACCAAAAAGATTCAGTTTCTATATATGAAAGTGAACTGACAACAAAGACGTTATAAATAGGCAGCATCCCGACAGACCATTTTACCTCTTTCACAAGTTTCTGACTTCTGTATCGCTGTTTCCCTCCCTCCTGAGTGCTCAAACACTCTCACTCAGCAGTTCAGAGAGGGGAGGGGGAGTACAGTGACGTAACGCTATGCTGCGCCTTCAAAATAAAAGCACGCTAGTTAAAAAATGTCAAAATCTAATATTTTGCGGTACAATTTTTTGGGGGGGACATATCCACCTGGCTTTTATATTGGGGGGGACATGTCCCCCCCGTCCCCCCCGCTTCCTACGCCGCTGACTGCATGTATATATTTCACCTGATTTGTTTCAGTTTAAATATTTTGTAATCTGCTAACATAGCAGGCTAACGTTACCATGGTGATAACTGTCGCTACCTGATCCAGGAGCACCTCATCGCCGACCAGATATACACCCCGGATCGCCCTCGAGTTTACTTTGTAAAAAAAGACCTAAGTTACATTTCATCCTGACTAAAAATGGTAAACGTAGTAAAGTTCATTGTGCTAAAGGTTAATAATGTGTTAAAGGAAACTCTGAGTTTCCACCTTTAGGCTTTCTCTCCATTCCTTTTCCCTGAGCAGAGATCACTCAGGACAAACTCTTTAAATAACACTTCATAATGTATTAAATTACCAGGAGACATGACAACAGATTCTGATAGAAATTATAATCTCACTCAGATTAGAGAAGTTGCTTAGAATATACTGAAGGCAGCTGCTCACCAACCAGGCTCCTCTTGTTGAAGGGGCCCCGAATCACAGATTGGGAAGCATTTTATACAACTATGATCTGCCACATCATTACATCATCACATCATTACATCATCACATCATTACATTACATCATCACATCATCACATCATTACATGACATCATCACATCATAGATGTTTGCAGATCAGACCTCCATCAAAATATTACCTCAACATTCCACATGCCCCGCTAAACTTCGTCATGTGGCGCACTTGCACAGTCATGTTAACCAATGTGAACTGTTCCACTTCCACTGCCACTCCTCCGCACCTCACCATCCACGTATGTCTTCTCCTTCGTTCAAAGTCAAAATACAGAGCTGAGCTATTTTTAGCTCTGGTCCGGCCAGGTCAACATCCGCCATTGCAATCGCAGTAAACAGGGAAAAGAACGGTGAGAAGATCTGGTTTGTCTAATAAAAAAATAGTAACAACTGATCAGTAAATACTAATTAGACCATAATTCTGAAATATTCCCAAAAGCGTTTAATGAAATGATTGGATCCAAACTATTGGTGCTTCAACAGATCAGGAAGTAGATTTCTCATCTGGATCTAAATATTCATTTCATAACAAGAGGCTTAAAGTTTAATGAAATCCAGTCAGAATCGCAGACATGAATAAAGACATGCTGAGTCTGGAAGTAGAGAACAAACATGGTTCATAAAAAACTATGTTGTATGATCCTAGTTATTCCTGTTACAAAAATCCACAACAAATAGAAAATATTTGGGCAGAAGCTGCACATATGCTGGATATTGATGGGGGTTGTTTTGACACGTCATTTTAAATCAAGCGTTTGTTTTGCTCCTATGAATTTACCAATATGGTGCATGCTCTCCTTGAGCTCCGAAGAAGTGGGAGTGGAGCAAGACAGGAGGAACCCTGGAGGCTGCAGTCTTTGCTTTGCGCTGTCGGTCTGGAGCGCAGCGGTCATGGAGGATGTGGGATTTCAGTTTTTCTTTGTTCTTAGATGGACGCAGCGCTCATTCCACTCCCGCATCTTTGCCACATTCATAATGGAAAGGATAACTGTATATCCGACAGAGGAACTGTCCTTCTTAGATGAACTACTCTGGAAAACATTAGTTCTGACTGTCATGATGGGTATCAGGGAGGCCCAATATGCAGAACACTGACGACACGGATGGAAAGTTTAACAGAGTTTATTGGCAAATTCACACATATAATAAAGACTGATGCAATGGTTCTGGGCTGGGACCGGTTCACTGGCGTCTGTGAGAAAGACAGTTTGGTTAGCGAAGGCTTGGTTGAGACTTGACTGATTGTGTTCAGGTTTGTACCTTGATGAACTTAGAGGAGGCTTTGGGAGCGGAACTGTTGGGTCCGGAGAAAGCTTGGGTTGGCAGAGTCCTTAAGCTGTTTCAGCGTCTTACTTCTAAAGGCTGTTTTGACCTTGGCTTGTGTTTCCAGCTCGGTATCCAGAGCTGCTAGGAAATCCAGAGAGTGAGTCTTCAGGTTTGGCTCGGAGGGATGGCTAGGCAGGTTAAGCTCTTCCAGAGCTTCACAGGAGAAAGAACAGGAAACCTGGAAGCAGAG